GTAGGTCCTGGGTTCGAATCCCGCGGGGGGCGGGTTCGTGGATGCGCACTGCTGAGGAGTCCCATGCTAGGACGAAACGGCCGTCCAGTGCTTCCAGGTTTTCCATGGTGGTCTAACTTCAATTGGCTCATGATTTCAACTTGTGAAATTTCTAAAAATCTCCACAAAACCCACTCTGATATTAAAAAAATCTATTGTTTTTGTTATTACCACCAACTTTCATCCGATCATTCCCAATATCATGCTACATATGGCTGTGGTGGTTTTACCCGTATGAAAAGTTATGATTTGAGATCATTTTTCTCAATCCTTTTTGTCATAAAAGCCAAGAAGCTACTATTGAATCCCTTTTAAACTGTCTTCATAAAATCCTAGTTTTATTCGATTTTCAACGATGATCTTGTGGTGTTTGAGTGAACTAATGATTGTTTTGTACTTGTTGAATGCTTGATTTCGAATTCTAAATACAGTACGTTCGTTTGTGTCTATTTAATACTTCTTGGTCTGATTACGTTATTTTAGGGATTCTTAGTTCGTACTATGATTCAAATAATTCAAAATATCGTAGATTTCCTCAAGGTAGATCGCACAACACCAGTTTATTGACCAAGTGAAATATACGTGCTCCATCAGGGAAAACGTATGAGCTACATAGATCTACACGAAATAATATTGAACCACGGCAAAATAATCCTTTAATTTGGATGTAATAAAGGACAACTCAGTGAACATCGAAAGTTGAGTAGAAATTGGAAGGTCAAGGAAGCCAAATACTGGAAGAATTGGGAGATTGAATAACTTGGTCTCACAGACATGATCATACTGTGTTCTCCCTTCATCATTTTCCTTTCCAGTTTGTTTTTGGATCTTGCCAGTAATGTTGTCTCACTGAATAAACTTGCTGTAGTTGTTAAGTAAACAGATTCCTGTATCATCCCTCGTTCACTAGTTCTGGTAAGGCAGTTGAGTAAAATTGATCACTACATTTCATTCTCGATAAGGTTCAAGATACTTCAATTGAGACAATGGTTTATAATTATCTTACAACGACTAGAATTTTTATTCTTGACCTAGATCCCAGAGGCTTTTCAAGACATCTGAAGTCAACAATTATTATAAAGTAATATCTTAGAGCGATACTATCGATAATTCTGGACGTTAAGCCGTATTCCGTGACGTTCACATACCCCTCGTCTCTTTTTAGTGGTTGTTTCAAGTCGATTTTCCGTAGAGTACGAATACTTGCAGCCCAAAGTGGACCAAAACTTCTTGATTAAAAGACATACATTCTTGTTATACAGCTTTACACATCAGAACGATCCTCAAAATTTTACTTCCAGCTCAGTGGTGTGATTATATGTATACGTTTGATTTTTATTTAAGCGTGTCATAATCAGTTTGAATTTTATTTGACTTTTACTACTGAATATCAACCACCTCAGTCACACCAACCACAGAGTGAACAATTAGAGTAATAAATAGCAGTAGGAGTCTAAACATTGGTTCACGAGGAAATGCTGGTGAAATATGCCAGGAAGTTTGTTCAATTGCCCACGAATTTAACCTTAGAACTGTCCTACAATATTAGAAAAATAGAAAGAATTTATTCACTCTCATAGACAATTATACATATTTAGAACAAATAAAAATATTTGCATCATTTGAAAAACCGACAATGTCCAACAATTCATTAACTAAACGGAACTGAGCAGGACGAAAGTCGGCATCATTTATAGATTAATGAGATGATGGAAGTGGAAAACATTTTGTCAGTTGCACATACTAAGGACTGGTTGCTGAAGTGGAAGTCAGAAATTCGAAATTATCGTATAATGCAAAAAACAGCCTATAAACTGTACCCACAGAAATTCAGTTCACTTGTTTTTTTGGCACAACAACAAATAAAAATGAAACATAATTGATTCAGAATAAGGAAAAGGACGGAACATCTCCTATGTGCGGTGAGCTTATAAATATTGTGGAAACTCCTCGGTTCTTGCAGCAGGTGTTGATTGTATCCTTCGCTAGAAACTGTGGAATTTGCCTCATAGTTTCCGAGTGTCAGGGTATAAGCAGGAAGTTTTTCGTGCCTTAAAGTTTTTTCAACACTGCTTGTACATGCTGTTCGTGTGATTGCAAATCGGGGCTGGCAATTAACAAGTCGTCTATATACCCCTGCGCAAATGGCATATCTCGAAGTAGGTTATCTATGAATCTTTGAAATGTCTGTGCCGTATTTCTCAGGCCGAATGGCATGCGTACAAACTCGAATAAGCCAAAGGGTGTTGCAATAGCTGTCTTGGGAATATCTTCATCAGCCACTGGGATATTGTGATATGCCCTGACTAAGTCAATTTTAGTGAATATGTTCATGCCCTGTAAACCGTTTGTGAAATCTTGGATATGCGGTATTGGGTACCTATCTGGTACGGTTTGACGGTTGAGGGCTCTGTAATCCCCGCACGGTCGCCAGTCACCTTCATTCTTCTTTGGGACCATATGCAAAGGGGATGCCCATTGACTATCAGAGGGACGGATAATACCCAGTTGTAGCCTATAATCAAACGCGGCCCTAGCGATTTTGAGCTTATCTAGTACTAGTCTCCTGGGTTTTGCAAACACCGGTGCACCTTCGGTTTTGATAGTGTGACTTACTTTTAGTTTGTCTTTGGAAGGCTGTGGGTTTGGTTTAGTTAAGTTTGGAAATTCCGCGAGTATATCTTGGAATTTCGCTGTTGTTACTGGAGGGGTTTGAATCAAGTCAAGAGAGCTGATGTGACTTTCTTTGCCTTTTGTGTAATACGAAGTTTCTTTTAGTGTTAATCGCCGTTTCTTGGTGTCAACTAGAAATTCGTATCTCTCTAGAAAGTCCATCCCCAGTATTGCCAGATCTAAGTCGGCTACCGTGAAAACCCAAGGGAATTGCCTCCTGAACCCCAAATCTAGGGTTAAAGTTTTCTGCCCAAATGTCGCAATTTTAGTTTTATTTGCAGCTTGAAGTGTAATTGATGATGTTTCTCGACTAATCTCAGTTTTATTTTGAGGGATGATGCTAAGAGCAGCGCCAGTATCCACCAAGAAATTCAAGCCCGACTTTCTGTCTATAACATAAAACAAGCGACTGTTTAGGCGCCCCTCCTCAGTCGTCGCGACCTGGGGAGGGGTTACTCGTTTCCCGCTGACTTAGAATTATGCTTAGGCCAGGCGCATGGTTGCATGCACTTGGTTGAGTTGACACCAAACTTCCAGTGGTACCAACAAAACTGCCCAGATTGTCTGGACATTTGTGACCTGTTTTGTGACTTGGATCGTGGTCGTTGTGGTGACCTGCTCCTGTTTCTATGACCCATTTGCATTCTGGTGACAGCCTCAGTGAGACTCTTAACACTCGCAATGAGTCCTTCTATGACGGGGACTTTTGCTGATTCTACTTTTTGTGTGTGATTTATTAAGCCTGATCCAGTTGGAGGACCTCTTTCCATTATTCTGTCGGCTATACGCGCTAAATGAGATAATGAGGTTTCAGGATCCTGTGCATCCAAACAGTGTTGGACGTAGCATGGGAGAGCTTGTATCCATCCTTGTTTTAGGACTGCTTCACCCACTGTGTTATCACCCACTAAGACTTGGAGGTGACGTAAAAACTGTGACGGCGACCGATCACCTAGTGTTTCACCTTGAAAAAGTCTTTGGATTCTTTGACTATCTGATAATGATAAACGGTTCATTATCTCTCGTCTTAAGATGGTGTATGGTTGTGGTGATGGTGGACTCAAAATCAAGTCACGGACTTCTTTGGCGACTGAAGGAGGAAGGATAGAACACGAGTCTCTATAGCAAATCCCTTCAGATTCGATATTGTGTCTCGTGAAATAATGCTCTAGGTGAGCAAACCACAACTCAGGATCACTACGATCAAATTCTGGAAGTCGGGATTTCGTAGTCATAACAGTGTCTATCTCCACTGGTGACAAATCCTCCAGATTATGGGTTTCTATTGAGTCTGACATGAGGTATGTGACAAATATAACAATGAAGTTAGCACAAAAAGTGGTTACTATAACACGAATAACTTAAGATAATACGGAATAAACTAGTTATATACTCAAATTAGTTTACGGATAATCAGGTCTACTTTTACGATTAAGTAAAAAAATGTTAATAACAGAAATGAGGTTAAATTTGTGTTCAAAAAGGGCTCACCAATTTCGTGCCTTAAAGTAACCCTCGTGCTATTGATAGAAGAAACCAGAGAAGTAGTGAATAGGTCTTTATTTCGATCTCAGCGCGGTAACAGTGGAGCGTCGGATTACCTGTTCAGACAAACAAAGGCTCTCAACATTCAATATAAGATAATAGGGAATATAACGCTTATACAAAACAAGGAAGTGAATGAATACTTGAACAGTACTGTTTTGGCATATGCTTGGTTGTTTGGGGTCAACTCTTAACAAACCAACCTAAGCTGTTACAAGTTTACCATGTCAGTATTGGCTGTTGTGAAAGAAAACTCAACAGAGAATGGGTCGTTTACTCAATGTGTCAATTTCAGACAACTGGAGCCAATATTTTGTACTATCATAGACAAAATCTTGAGAACATGATCAAAGAGAGTTTACACGATGACGTTGTTATAACTTACAAGGTCAAAACTATTGTATTTCAAACAAGGGTCATTTAATTCATCTTCGTGATACATACAATTTGATGGCTTCTCACATGTCAGGAGTTCGTTGAATTTTGACATCTAATAGATGAAATGTTTCGTCGTGTCTGTATATCATAATAAAATGATTAGTGTACTTTTTAGAATAGGTTAAGGGAGTTTGTAGTGCACTCTGTTACTATCTAAGAGGTGTGGATCACAGTCCAGGTATGGATTTAAAGTGTCACACAGCTTTATATTCTTATTAAGAAAAAGTTCAAACGACATTGTTTTTATCGGATGTTGATATATATTGAAGAGCGCAAATTTGCTTTGAAGGCCATAGACCTCAGTCGTGGTTTACGGATTTATTGTCAGGTAGGATTTAAGTATTGAAATGTGAGAGGTTTTTAATCTGAAGTTTAACTGTACGGTTATTGTGATATACGCATACAAGTGTTTAGTTCTATACTAACTGTTTTTTATGCACAAATTGAGACTTTCTGTCTCTAACATAAAACAAGCGACTGTTTAGGCGCCCCTCCTCAGTCGTCGCGACCTGGGGAGGGGTTACTCGTTTCCCGCTGACTTAGAATTATGCTTAGGCCAGGCGCATGGTTGCATGCACTTGGTTGAGTTGACACCAAACTTCCAGTGGTACCAACAAAACTGCCCAGATTGTCTGGACATTTGTGACCTGTTTTGTGACTTGGATCGTGGTCGTTGTGGTGACCTGCTCCTGTTTCTATGACCCATTTGCATTCTGGTGACAGCCTCAGTGAGACTCTTAACACTCGCAATGAGTCCTTCTATGACGGGGACTTTTGCTGATTCTACTTTTTGTGTGTGATTTATTAAGCCTGATCCAGTTGGAGGACCTCTTTCCATTATTCTGTCGGCTATACGCGCTAAATGAGATAATGAGGTTTCAGGATCCTGTGCATCCAAACAGTGTTGGACGTAGCATGGGAGAGCTTGTATCCATCCTTGTTTTAGGACTGCTTCACCCACTGTGTTATCACCCACTAAGACTTGGAGGTGACGTAAAAACTGTGACGGCGACCGATCACCTAGTGTTTCACCTTGAAAAAGTCTTTGGATTCTTTGACTATCTGATAATGATAAACGGTTCATTATCTCTCGTCTTAAGATGGTGTATGGTTGTGGTGATGGTGGACTCAAAATCAAGTCACGGACTTCTTTGGCGACTGAAGGAGGAAGGATAGAACACGAGTCTCTATAGCAAATCCCTTCAGATTCGATATTGTGTCTCGTGAAATAATGCTCTAGGTGAGCAAACCACAACTCAGGATCACTACGATCAAATTCTGGAAGTCGGGATTTCGTAGTCATAACAGTGTCTATCTCCACTGGTGACAAATCCTCCAGATTATGGGTTTCTATTGAGTCTGACATGAGGTATGTGACAAATATAACAATGAAGTTAGCACAAAAAGTGGTTACTATAACACGAATAACTTAAGATAATACGGAATAAACTAGTTATATACTCAAATTAGTTTACGGATAATCAGGTCTACTTTTACGATTAAGTAAAAAAAATGTTAATAACAGAAATGAGGTTAAATTTGTGTTCAAAAAGGGCTCACCAATTTCGTGCCTTAAAGTAACCCTCGTGCTATTGATAGAAGAAACCAGAGAAGTAGTGAATAGGTCTTTATTTCGATCTCAGCGCGGTAACAGTGGAGCGTCGGATTACCTGTTCAGACAAACAAAGGCTCTCAACATTCAATATAAGATAATAGGGAATATAACGCTTATACAAAACAAGGAAGTGAATGAATACTTGAACAGTACTGTTTTGGCATATGCTTGGTTGTTTGGGGTCAACTCTTAACAAACCAACCTAAGCTGTTACAAGTTTACCATGTCAGTATTGGCTGTTGTGAAAGAAAACTCAACAGAGAATGGGTCGTTTACTCAATGTGTCAATTTCAGACAACTGGAGCCAATATTTTGTACTATCATAGACAAAATCTTGAGAACATGATCAAAGAGAGTTTACACGATGACGTTGTTATAACTTACAAGGTCAAAACTATTGTATTTCAAACAAGGGTCATTTAATTCATCTTCGTGATACATACAATTTGATGGCTTCTCACATGTCAGGAGTTCGTTGAATTTTGACATCTAATAGATGAAATGTTTCGTCGTGTCTGTATATCATAATAAAATGATTAGTGTACTTTTTAGAATAGGTTAAGGGAGTTTGTAGTGCACTCTGTTACTATCTAAGAGGTGTGGATCACAGTCCAGGTATGGATTTAAAGTGTCACACAGCTTTATATTCTTATTAAGAAAAAGTTCAAACGACATTGTTTTTATCGGATGTTGATATATATTGAAGAGCGCAAATTTGCTTTGAAGGCCATAGACCTCAGTCGTGGTTTACGGATTTATTGTCAGGTAGGATTTAAGTATTGAAATGTGAGAGGTTTTTAATCTGAAGTTTAACTGTACGGTTATTGTGATATACGCATACAAGTGTTTAGTTCTATACTAACTGTTTTTTATGCACAAATTGAGACTTTCTGTCTCTAACATAAAACAAGCGACTGTTTAGGCGCCCCTCCTCAGTCGTCGCGACCTGGGGAGGGGTTACTCGTTTCCCGCTGACTTAGAATTATGCTTAGGCCAGGCGCATGGTTGCATGCACTTGGTTGAGTTGACACCAAACTTCCAGTGGTACCAACAAAACTGCCCAGATTGTCTGGACATTTGTGACCTGTTTTGTGACTTGGATCGTGGTCGTTGTGGTGACCTGCTCCTGTTTCTATGACCCATTTGCATTCTGGTGACAGCCTCAGTGAGACTCTTAACACTCGCAATGAGTCCTTCTATGACGGGGACTTTTGCTGATTCTACTTTTTGTGTGTGATTTATTAAGCCTGATCCAGTTGGAGGACCTCTTTCCATTATTCTGTCGGCTATACGCGCTAAATGAGATAATGAGGTTTCAGGATCCTGTGCATCCAAACAGTGTTGGACGTAGCATGGGAGAGCTTGTATCCATCCTTGTTTTAGGACTGCTTCACCCACTGTGTTATCACCCACTAAGACTTGGAGGTGACGTAAAAACTGTGACGGCGACCGATCACCTAGTGTTTCACCTTGAAAAAGTCTTTGGATTCTTTGACTATCTGATAATGATAAACGGTTCATTATCTCTCGTCTTAAGATGGTGTATGGTTGTGGTGATGGTGGACTCAAAATCAAGTCACGGACTTCTTTGGCGACTGAAGGAGGAAGGATAGAACACGAGTCTCTATAGCAAATCCCTTCAGATTCGATATTGTGTCTCGTGAAATAATGCTCTAGGTGAGCAAACCACAACTCAGGATCACTACGATCAAATTCTGGAAGTCGGGATTTCGTAGTCATAACAGTGTCTATCTCCACTGGTGACAAATCCTCCAGATTATGGGTTTCTATTGAGTCTGACATGAGGTATGTGACAAATATAACAATGAAGTTAGCACAAAAAGTGGTTACTATAACACGAATAACTTAAGATAATACGGAATAAACTAGTTATATACTCAAATTAGTTTACGGATAATCAGGTCTACTTTTACGATTAAGTAAAAAAAATGTTAATAACAGAAATGAGGTTAAATTTGTGTTCAAAAAGGGCTCACCAATTTCGTGCCTTAAAGTAACCCTCGTGCTATTGATAGAAGAAACCAGAGAAGTAGTGAATAGGTCTTTATTTCGATCTCAGCGCGGTAACAGTGGAGCGTCGGATTACCTGTTCAGACAAACAAAGGCTCTCAACATTCAATATAAGATAATAGGGAATATAACGCTTATACAAAACAAGGAAGTGAATGAATACTTGAACAGTACTGTTTTGGCATATGCTTGGTTGTTTGGGGTCAACTCTTAACAAACCAACCTAAGCTGTTACAAGTTTACCATGTCAGTATTGGCTGTTGTGAAAGAAAACTCAACAGAGAATGGGTCGTTTACTCAATGTGTCAATTTCAGACAACTGGAGCCAATATTTTGTACTATCATAGACAAAATCTTGAGAACATGATCAAAGAGAGTTTACACGATGACGTTGTTATAACTTACAAGGTCAAAACTATTGTATTTCAAACAAGGGTCATTTAATTCATCTTCGTGATACATACAATTTGATGGCTTCTCACATGTCAGGAGTTCGTTGAATTTTGACATCTAATAGATGAAATGTTTCGTCGTGTCTGTATATCATAATAAAATGATTAGTGTACTTTTTAGAATAGGTTAAGGGAGTTTGTAGTGCACTCTGTTACTATCTAAGAGGTGTGGATCACAGTCCAGGTATGGATTTAAAGTGTCACACAGCTTTATATTCTTATTAAGAAAAAGTTCAAACGACATTGTTTTTATCGGATGTTGATATATATTGAAGAGCGCAAATTTGCTTTGAAGGCCATAGACCTCAGTCGTGGTTTACGGATTTATTGTCAGGTAGGATTTAAGTATTGAAATGTGAGAGGTTTTTAATCTGAAGTTTAACTGTACGGTTATTGTGATATACGCATACAAGTGTTTAGTTCTATACTAACTGTTTTTTATGCACAAATTGAGACTTTCTGTCTCTAACATAAAACAAGCGACTGTTTAGGCGCCCCTCCTCAGTCGTCGCGACCTGGGGAGGGGTTACTCGTTTCCCGCTGACTTAGAATTATGCTTAGGCCAGGCGCATGGTTGCATGCACTTGGTTGAGTTGACACCAAACTTCCAGTGGTACCAACAAAACTGCCCAGATTGTCTGGACATTTGTGACCTGTTTTGTGACTTGGATCGTGGTCGTTGTGGTGACCTGCTCCTGTTTCTATGACCCATTTGCATTCTGGTGACAGCCTCAGTGAGACTCTTAACACTCGCAATGAGTCCTTCTATGACGGGGACTTTTGCTGATTCTACTTTTTGTGTGTGATTTATTAAGCCTGATCCAGTTGGAGGACCTCTTTCCATTATTCTGTCGGCTATACGCGCTAAATGAGATAATGAGGTTTCAGGATCCTGTGCATCCAAACAGTGTTGGACGTAGCATGGGAGAGCTTGTATCCATCCTTGTTTTAGGACTGCTTCACCCACTGTGTTATCACCCACTAAGACTTGGAGGTGACGTAAAAACTGTGACGGCGACCGATCACCTAGTGTTTCACCTTGAAAAAGTCTTTGGATTCTTTGACTATCTGATAATGATAAACGGTTCATTATCTCTCGTCTTAAGATGGTGTATGGTTGTGGTGATGGTGGACTCAAAATCAAGTCACGGACTTCTTTGGCGACTGAAGGAGGAAGGATAGAACACGAGTCTCTATAGCAAATCCCTTCAGATTCGATATTGTGTCTCGTGAAATAATGCTCTAGGTGAGCAAACCACAACTCAGGATCACTACGATCAAATTCTGGAAGTCGGGATTTCGTAGTCATAACAGTGTCTATCTCCACTGGTGACAAATCCTCCAGATTATGGGTTTCTATTGAGTCTGACATGAGGTATGTGACAAATATAACAATGAAGTTAGCACAAAAAGTGGTTACTATAACACGAATAACTTAAGATAATACGGAATAAACTAGTTATATACTCAAATTAGTTTACGGATAATCAGGTCTACTTTTACGATTAAGTAAAAAAAATGTTAATAACAGAAATGAGGTTAAATTTGTGTTCAAAAAGGGCTCACCAATTTCGTGCCTTAAAGTAACCCTCGTGCTATTGATAGAAGAAACCAGAGAAGTAGTGAATAGGTCTTTATTTCGATCTCAGCGCGGTAACAGTGGAGCGTCGGATTACCTGTTCAGACAAACAAAGGCTCTCAACATTCAATATAAGATAATAGGGAATATAACGCTTATACAAAACAAGGAAGTGAATGAATACTTGAACAGTACTGTTTTGGCATATGCTTGGTTGTTTGGGGTCAACTCTTAACAAACCAACCTAAGCTGTTACAAGTTTACCATGTCAGTATTGGCTGTTGTGAAAGAAAACTCAACAGAGAATGGGTCGTTTACTCAATGTGTCAATTTCAGACAACTGGAGCCAATATTTTGTACTATCATAGACAAAATCTTGAGAACATGATCAAAGAGAGTTTACACGATGACGTTGTTATAACTTACAAGGTCAAAACTATTGTATTTCAAACAAGGGTCATTTAATTCATCTTCGTGATACATACAATTTGATGGCTTCTCACATGTCAGGAGTTCGTTGAATTTTGACATCTAATAGATGAAATGTTTCGTCGTGTCTGTATATCATAATAAAATGATTAGTGTACTTTTTAGAATAGGTTAAGGGAGTTTGTAGTGCACTCTGTTACTATCTAAGAGGTGTGGATCACAGTCCAGGTATGGATTTAAAGTGTCACACAGCTTTATATTCTTATTAAGAAAAAGTTCAAACGACATTGTTTTTATCGGATGTTGATATATATTGAAGAGCGCAAATTTGCTTTGAAGGCCATAGACCTCAGTCGTGGTTTACGGATTTATTGTCAGGTAGGATTTAAGTATTGAAATGTGAGAGGTTTTTAATCTGAAGTTTAACTGTACGGTTATTGTGATATACGCATACAAGTGTTTAGTTCTATACTAACTGTTTTTTATGCACAAATTGAGACGATCAGTACGTTCATTACGGTTCTTATAATGATCAACATCTAATAGACTTATTTTTGCAGTGTGTAATAACTTACTATTGTCATTGTAGTACGTTACACTCAGGCGCAATTTCGTTCAAATATTATAGGGGACCACTCTACCAAAATTTAAAGACCAACTTGTCCGAAGTTAATTGCTGTGTACTAACTATACTTCTGTTTACCTTCTTGGTTTTCTCACCCCGGCCTTTTCAGTTTCGTTTCTGTTTGCAGTTTGACTTCATGGCTTGTTAAGTAGCAAATGGCTCCAACCGAGTGGAAGACGTCAAGAAATATCTAAATTTTGTTAAAAATGGTTTTATAACCAGACATCATGAGGATAAAGGTCTGGATGATCTACATTAGTTTTAAGATTTTCAACACCATGGATGATGTAGACAAAACACTATCACCATGTTATTCTTTGGTGAAATCTTTTAATTAAGGATCAGGTACGCATCTCTGTCCACAACAAAACATTTTACTTGCTCCTGTCTTGACATTTGTATTGAGAATCTTGATCTTGGTGTTGGTTGACAGTTGTTTTGAGTTGCAGATGTTCTTCAGTTGTAAATATGCTGCTCTTGCTCTGCCGATCCGCGCATTCACATCTGCATCAGATCCACCATGTTTATCAAAGATTTTGCCTTTATATGTAAAGGTTTTTACATCTTCCAAATCTTCTCCGTCAATTGTGATTGGATTTTTGCATGCTTTTCCTTATGTGTATATTGAGACCATAACATTTTACAGTTGAAAATTATTCCCCATTTGCATACGTTTTTCCTTTCTTTGGAAGTAGCTAGACCCTGCCAGGACTACCTAATTTAGTTTAATAAATTACTGATTCCCAGTACTTTGCTAACTAATCTTTAGTAAGCAGTATATATTAGTGCACTCCTATTAGTATTTGACCACAGATGCCTTAGAAATATTGCTGGCGTCTGCTGGGATCACCGGGTAAGTAATAGTGAGGTTAGACGCAGGGTATTAGGTAATGATGGTAAATCAGTTGATGAGGTCATGAATCTTCATCGACTGAGATAGTTGGGCCACGTGTTACGTATGCCTGAACACCGATTACCACAACGTGCAATGCTATCCGGTATTGGAAATGGTTGGAAGAAAGTTAGGGGCGGCCAAACCAAAACGTGGCATCAGTGCTTGAAGTCATTAACTTCTAGTCTGAGCCATGTTGGTAGATGCAGACTACTTGGTTGGGGTCCGCGTGACTATCGTAACCAATGGTTGGAGACTCTTGGTGACATGGCTCAGAATCGATCACAATGGCGTAGGTGTATACACTCCCTGTCTTCCCTTAAACTAAGAGATTAAAATCGCTTCATATATTTCTTTCTACGAACCAATTCTTTCTTCTTGTACTATATATCTATATGCAATCTTTCTCTTATATATTACTACCTTTGACCTAACCACTGCTATGAATCCGGTGTTCATCTTGTTGTGCTGATGCGGTATGGCAACCTGGACCGATGCACATATGTGCCTGGTCCTACGTTGTAGCTGACTGACTGAGTGCACTCCTACTAATGACTCATCACTAACGAACCCAGGCAAATTCATTACAAGTCTGAAGCTCCAACTGGATCCAGAATAATCGCTTCGTTCATGCCTTCCCCACTAGATGATGAAATTTTGGTGAAGTGATCTTGTAATATGATAAAGAACCGTGAGAATCAAAAGAAGCTAAGTAGCCAAGTGGAAGACGTCTTTTGTTACAACTGGAAATTTTTTAAAAGACCCCTATTTTCCACTTGCTATTTTCTAACTCATGTCAGTAAAAGAAATGAAATTTGATCATAGTTGGAGATCGATAAAAAGCCAGTTATATCAGTGAGGTGATTTTTTGCTGCTATTTCTAAATGTCTTCAAATTTGTAGTATTATTTTTTAAATTTACCAATAAAAGTTATTCATTTTTTTGAACTTCACACTGTTCAATTTTATTTTTACTCGTGACAAGAAATTTGATTGATTGTAAACTTATCGTTCATATATGTTGACACCAGTCATTGCCATGCTGTACTTTTAATCCAGCAAGCCAAAATACCGTTAAAGATCATCTCGCAATACAAATGAATAATGATATTTTTGGAAATACTCAATAGAGCGGTTGAGGAATCTCTTCTATATCGATTTGAGAATGCAAAAAATGGGTAGGAAATCTTATCATGAGTTGCTAATTATCCAATAATCACTGGTAGTTTAAAATTCGAGAAATTCAACCAAACACTAGCTGATTTTGATGGTGCTATTTATCATTTAAGAAGTGTTCCAAATGACCGATCGAAAATTCTTGTCAGTATTACACTAAACTTTTTTCAAGAATTACAGGAACATGGAGCAAACGAGGTCTGTTAATATTTATGGTTTTATACATTCATTTTAATATTACAAAAATAACAGGTATTGAGAAGAGAATACGGCCAGTATTTACTTAATAAACCTGAAGATGGTTGCAGTGTCTCATTGTTATATGATCTAGAGCATTTACCAGAAGATTATGCCTTAATAGCACAGAAAGCTGCTTTATTAAAAAGAAATTGTTTTGCTGCCGTATTTGAGAAATTTTTTGAATTTCATGCTTCCATGGGTGAAGACGCTGTTGGTTGTAAAAAAGCTGTCATACATTACCGACCAGATGAAACACTGTAAGTGCCGGTATTTCCTAGTTAATTTTTTCGATGTTACACTCATGATGTGGATTTGTAAGACCTTTAACTACTTTTGAAAATAACATGACACATGACTACATGTCGACTCAGTTGTCTGAAATGTGAGATATACATCACAAAAATCTCAACTGCGCTACTAACCCGTTCATATGGAAGCAAATAGATTGGTTTCAAATTCATCCTATTTACTGATAGTCTAGTGTTTAAATCAGATTTATTTAGCTTTAGCTCACGTACCAAAAATTCAGGACTTGACATTAATCTTGCGGATTAGACCTCTAGGTCAAAGGCTCCGGGTGTGCCTCCCTAATAAAACCACCTGCTTCAGTCTGGGCACCCGGGCAGTATCCCAACCCCCACACAAATCGAATAATTTATGTGACGCATATATATTTGATGCCTCCTTGTACCAATGTTTACGTGTTTAAATAAATAAAACGCAATAGCGAAAACAGGTGAATAAGTCTACTGAAAATAAAAGTTCATTTCAACCTAGACGTCCAACGTCAATACCAACAGCATCTAACGCGTCTCTGCACATGCTCCGATGGTGAGGTAAACCGATTGAATTGAATTCCTTGTTGGTGACGAGGGAGTAGCTAAGCTTATTAACCTCCTCATCTAGGAAAACCTCATGATATCCGGATGCTAATAACGACTTAGAACTCCACTCGCTCCTCCCAACACGACCGTAGCTGCTACTTTGATATGTTAGTCGGGCTTTCTGTTCTCAGAGCTGGGTGGTATGTCCGTGGAACTTTCATCACCGAACCAATGGGAGATGCAGCCAAAACAAAAAAGTACACAGTGACACGTTTAAGATCAACAAGAAGTAACCAATATTGAGGTCTACAGGACAAGCTGTGAACCACATGTGGAGAAATTCGAACACTTCACTTCTATCTGAAGCTTGTGCTGATGATGTTCAGAAGAACGATGAAAGCTTTGCGACCAAACCATCTAGCTCAGAGAACAAAACTCCATCAAAATCATCCACCTGAGTTAGTCGGGCTTGCATATCGTTATGGTTCAATCAAGTTACATTTGCCGTAACACTTATCCCCTTAGGCTATAATATGCCAGGCAAATGGGTTGGAGAACGGTAAGACTAAAAGAAGCAACTTAAGGTTTGAGGGCGTACTCTCACTGCCGACTGCGTAGGGATTGCCATTGCATCATTTGCACCGATTCTGTTTCCTTATAATAGAAGATATAGACTGGAAAAGGTTGACGTTAAAATGACACACCTTGATCCACAAGTCACCTCTAGCGTCAAGGCCTTTTGAAGTATAGAGCCAACTCATTAGAAACTCGCCACAAAAAGACCATGTGGCCGTCCCCAAGAAGTTGTCCTTAGGACTGCGGTGACGCTCCCAGGACGACAAGATCACCATTAATCCATTTCCTTTCACGAGTCCCCCAAGAAGTATCTTTCTAGCATGTAGACAACTGAGAAGCGACAAATGCTTCCATACCTTTAAGGGGAAGCGAGATAATCTCGTTTTTAAATGAAGCCAGTCTTCATTACTAAATATTGCTTCTATTTCCGCTATCAATCCTCATCTTCTGCCTTTGAGTTCTCCAACTGGTACCAACCTAAACAAAATATTAGGAAAGACCAGTGGATTTTGGTGCTATCCACTGAATGCTTATGGGCTCCAAAACTCATACCGATAGGTTCGGAGAACGATAAAGAGCTACGTCAACTAAAAAATGAACTAGAAAAGTTTATGCAACAATTGTGAGGAGCGGTGGGCAACAAAATCAAAATAGATGAGACAGGCAGTGACTGTAGGTGACACTAGACAGCTCTATTGATAAATCAAGGAAATATATAATAAAAAGGCGGTTGTTGGTGATGCTATTTCAGAGAAGAACTAAACTGTTATTCCATTTCAATCTGGGAGATTAGACAGATAGGCAGAACAATTTAGGCAGCAACTCAACTGACCTACAGCTGTTACCATCTATCTCCAATCAACATAAATGATAAATCGATACAAGTTCTCTAACCCTTAATGAGATTGAAAAGACCATAAGTAATCTAAAATGATAGAAAGCAACAGGCCCTAATGACTTAACCCCAGTGATCTTTAAGAATGGTGGTTTAGTTTTAGCAGTTAACTACGATATTGTCTAGAGCCTGGGGACAGGATGTAATCCTATCTGACTGGCCCTGATCTATGATCGTTCCAGTCTACAAGAAAGGACAAAATTCCTCCTATAATAACCGTGAAGGAATCAGACCAATGAGGTGTCGAAAATATTAGCCTCAATAATAATCCGACGTATGCCCAACGACCGACTGCCCCGACGTGTCATGTTCAGTGGTATAGGAGTAGGTTGGAAGAAAGCTAGGGGCGGGCAGACCAAAACATGGCACAAATCCATAAAGTCACTGATAAGTGGACTGAGTCATGTCGGTAGGTGTAGACTACCTGGTTGGGGACCGCGAGATGATAGCAACCGATGGTTAAAGACCCTGAATGACATGGCTCAAAATCGTTTGCAATGGCGCAGGTGCATACACTCTTTGTGTTCTCCCAAATTTTGATCTCCTTATTTCTCCTTGTCTCTTTTTTTTCTCCTCTCAAATTTATTTCACTGTATTATACTCTTTAATTAACATCTTCAAACACAAATCTTCCCGATTACTGCTTATACTCTTATTACCTCTACCACTACGGGATTTGAATCGACCACTGCATCTCTGTGCTAATGTGGTGTGGCAACTCGAACTGATGTACGTACGTACGAAGTTCTACTTTGTTACTGACTGACTGAATCCGACCCTTACCTAGGGTTCGTGAAAAACAAACTCGGGAATATCAAGCTCGTTTTAGATATGGACTTGGATGTATTGACCAAAAACCAACTCTGCGCCATGTTTTGGATTATTGGCATAATTACTGACGCCCGATTATGCTTTATTCCCTGACCTTAAGATAGGATTCAATTTTTTGGCCGGAAGGTTCGGTGGTTATGATTGTCATTGTAAGTTTTACCGAAGAATCTTGTAAAAGCTTTCCACTCAGACACTATTGGTCGAGCCAAAGCTTATGGAGGACTGTCATCAGATTCGTCACCCTCAATTAGCGTTCATCAGGTGTACCCATTTTCCCCATTTTTACTTAGTTTTGCCGCCGATTTTCGCCTCAAAATGACGTTTCGTTCGATTACCTTTTGAGATGGATTTGTCGTACCAAGAAGTCCGCTTATCGACTTAGATACGCAGATGACGTACTCCTATTTCGCGAAGATGCTGACAAAATGCAGTCTTTTGACCGCTTCGCAATGAGTTTCCTTTTAAACACAAAATGTCGTTCATAACCGGTCCGCATTTACCTCTGAACTGATAATAGGGAGTGAAGTAGTCGAATTTCAGCATCCTTTCATAAATATCTTTCCACTTTGTCTTCTCAAAACATAGTCTCAAAGTTTAGTCTTTCTTTTTATTATTTCTACTACATTATTTTGATTTCATTTGTCATCTTTTCGTCGAGCTAATCAGGTACGGTAACTTGAGTCAGGCACATCTGTACCAGGCTTAATATTGATTATGTCTGCCTGATTCATAGCTAATTTTTGATATTCAAAAAACGGGAACTGGAATCATTAAGGGAGGAAACAGAATTCAAACTAGTGACTAGTGCTCAGAGAACAAAACTCCACCAAAAACTAGTGACCATGCTATCAAATTGTTTTATCAAGATTGTAATGCACAATCATTTACGCAAAGTTTCTCCCACATTTACTCCACCACAATTTGTTCCTATTTAAAATCTTAACACTTTCATTTTCTTGTGACCATCGGAATCCACATTAACGATTTTATTACCAAATCATTAAGGACAATCGAAGATAGTCACGCAGTATCGTAAATCAATCGAATTTAAACTTGCACACCATTAGATACAGGCTCAGCGTTATTGAGGTGCGAGAATAAAGGTCCTGGATTTAATTCTCAGTTGTGGAGTTGTGGATACTCACCATTTAGGAGCTCTATACTAAAACAAAACGACTGCCTAATGCTTCCAGTTTTCAGCGATTATCTAACTTAAATCTGTCCGTGATATAAATATGAATCGTATTAGTTGCTTAACTTATTCCCTAGTTGACTATGATAATACTGCTATAAACCAGTTCACCTATTTGTAAATGTATATATATATATGTATGACTGAGTGAAAAAGCAATCTTTCCTCTTTTAAATAAACCGTCTAATCAATAATCAAGTGTTAGGTCAATGTTACAAGATCACCTTTTGTCAAAGTGATTTGTTATAATTTATTCGCTATTTCGCTAGGTAAAAAGATGACCTATGAATTTAGGTGTTGGTCTATCTTATATATATATATATATATATATATATATATATACTTTTTAGAATTTAATATTCGATAGGGATGTGACTACTATACACAGAATCCTATATTGTAATTCCTTTTTTGGATAAATCTGTCTACTATTCACTTTGTAAAAGTTGAACCTACCCCTATCAGTTCATTTTTGAACTTATTATTCTTGTTCATCTCCGTTTTATCCATTCGCTGTCCACTTAAAAAGTGCCTTAATTTGAGCCAATATTTTGTTTTTAGTCCAGTCCTTATTCTAAACACTTAACAAACAGTTGCATCTATTTTTTTCATTTGTAGTAAAAAAATTATCTCTGAATTATTAGTGTATTTACAACATGGTTGCTAATGTATGCTATCTGCTAAAGGAATCGATTTTTTCTAGTGCGTTATCTCCCGTAAATACCCCCTAACATTTCATGAATTCCTCGGAAGTATTTCTTAAGCGTCATTAATAATTTAATGTTGCGCAATTGTTCCATCTGATCACGAATGTCCACCGATATTAAAAGCAGACATATCACATTAAAACCCCGTTTGATAAGATCGTTAAGGGTTCCTGAAAGTTCCATCTCTTTCTAAAATAAATCAATGTAAATAATACAATTCATTGTGTACTTA